AAAACGCTACGAATTAATTCCAACACCTAATATAAATAATCAATAAAAAATTGAAAAATATAAAAATTAATTTTTACTTTTATCTCACCTATAACTGCGCAGAAGTATTTTATTCTCGACAGCTGTGAAACTTAAAACATGTTCAAGACCTTGCAATCTGATCTTTTGAACCTCTTCTCTAAGAAACATGTCAATGAGTAAGTTTTTGATTCTTCCATACTCATAATTACTTTCAAAGAGTTCACCATTAAATATCAACAATGGTTTTATTCCTGAAGTGATCTTTTCAACTTTGAAGTCTTTCAATCCTTTATAATTGTCTATGCCAAATTCTATCATGTCTAATAACATATGTTCATACATTCGACCCATTATAAGATTGTGTGGACGTTTCTTATTATGAGTAGCTATCATGAAAAGAGATGCGTCATACTTAAGAGCAAATTTTTCAATAGGTGTAATATTCTCAAATGGCAGTATGTCATTTTTCTGTTTCATCATTTGTACATTAGGTTTCTTCAAATCATACTGAAAAATATATTTCATTTATAATTGAAAATTTCTGTTGCTATAAAAGTTGAAGCAACGCCAATAAAAGTTGTATTTGTTTACCAAATCCTTCATAATATCTGTAACGATTTGCGATATGCGATTACCCTTGAGACATAAAGCTTCTTTAGCATTTTCTATTAACTTAGGCTCCTTCTTCAATATAGCTTTCTTACCCTTATGTGTAGTTGGCTTTCTGTAAAAACATATTGCATAAAATTATAATGTATAATGAAGTCTGCAATAATCTACGTATACAATTTCATGTACATTAAGGAATAATGTTTAATATTACTTTGTAAATAAACATTACGCTGTAAATACACCGAAATACATGACAAACTTACGTAATTCTGTTTATAGCAGGCATGATGAAATAATAAATTGATATACTAAAAATTACTATTTTATATTTTTCTCAGTAAACGTGAATAACACTGGGATAACACGTGGATAATCTAATGCTCACAACATATGACTCGAATGCACTTCTTCTTCTTCTTGTTCAATATTAATTGGTCTTTGCCGCGGAGTAGCAGCAATTCCGACCAGAGTGAACCTAGTAGCTGAAACAAGTAACCAGGCGGGGGCGCCGCCTGGAAGGAAAGGAGAGAAACAAAGTTCTCCACCCCTCCCTTAAAACGAAGGCATGTTCATGGAAATCAGATATCGAGGTTTAAAGATTTGAGATATGCAGTGATTAGACGACACAAAGAGTGAGGGGGGGGGGGAGAATTATTAATCATACAATGAATATTAATGGGATGAAGCGAGAAGTGTTTCTGCAGGTAATCGCAAAATTTAGCCGATTTATGAATACAAAGTCTGCAATAAAAGAGGATGTGATTAATGTTCTGTTTAGGGTCACCACAAGGGTCACCACGCAGGCGAGTTAACAATATTTTTTCGATGCAGGCTGTATGCTAGATTGTAATGATTAGATCTAATTCTGGAGATGGTGACGATTCTTCTCCAATGAATGGTTATCCTCTTGAATTCATTTTTGTAACAATAAAAAACAGAATAAAAACTTTAGAAAATAGAACTAATTTAGATAAAAATAGTGAGTGTAATAATAATGAAAACGATTCTAATTTCAATTTAAAGAAAAAGTTTTTTGTAATACCATATTTAAGTAAAGTATCGGAAAAATTTTAAAAATTATCACATAATCAGGACTTTAATGTTGCTTACAAACTTATAAATAAACTTAATAGATTTATTAAAACTGGAAAAGATCGTGTATGCAAAGAGGACCATTGTGGAGTGGTTTATAAGATAAATTGTCTGGATTGTGAGTCTTCTTATGTTGGCCAAACAAAAAGGAAATTAAAAACTCGAAAGAACATAAGATTGACATAAAAAGATCCTCTGAGATGTCAGTGATTTCACGCCACCAAGTGAATGAGATGCACGAATTGGATTGGGATAATATTAGAATTTTAGATACAGAACAATCATTATTTAAAAGAAGAATTTCTGAAATGATATACACAAAAAGCCAAATAAGTAGTATTAATAAGCAAAGTGACACTGAAGGTTTGCCTGATATTTATCTGCGTTTTCTAAAGAAAGATCTCTCTCACACTTAAAAATAATTTTAGAACAATCTAAACTTTTGATATACATATAAATAGCAGTAACATATAATAATACACAATGTCACGACGATTTCTATCTGCGTGAGGAAAGTGCTTAAGATCATCATTTTGTCTGTAAAACAGGTAACGATTTGTTAATCCTCATAAAATTGACTAGAAAATATTAAGTTTAATTTTTAAATTAGAATCTGGAAATTTTTGTTCTACATAACTTGCAATATTATAATTGGCGCTACAACCATGTTGTATGATGCATCTTCATATAATGAAAGAACACGTTTATACATATTTATATTTTTGATGGCTGAATTTAATGTCAGATATATGTAAATTCTGCGTTTTACTGATATTTGTGATTTTACTGAAGATGGCCAGATTGTGGCCGAAATGTCTAAAGATTTTTTTATTAATGTGAATGAATTATTAAATTTCACAAACAACATCCACTGCTGTGGTTTCATGCTCCTCTTTTTATATGTTTTTATATATTTGTTTAAAATAATATGCATATTTTCAGAATTAGTTTTATAGCAAAATTTAAATTTTTTAAACATATTTATCCATTTGATAATATCGATCTATATAGTTATGTACATTTTTTATCAGCACAGTAGTTTTCTTTGGAAATTTTATAGATATACACAGTAGTGGAAGAATAGATTTAGTTTTCCTACATCATGAAAATGAAGAAACACAATCTTGCTGTTATCATGATATTAATCAATGGATTAATTACTGGCTTCACTGTGGTCATTTAAGTTTGAAAGGAGATGTGAAGATGTCAAAGAGTCTAAAGAAAGCCATAAGCATACAAGATTATCTCGAAAACCATTCGGCAAATAATCTTAGAAATCTTTTGTCTTTTGTCTCATTATCGAAATGTATATATTGGGTCATCTAAAAAGTATCCGCGGTTTTTTGTCACTAAATGGTGTTGACCATCAACACCATCTAGTGACAAAAAACCACGGATACTTTTTAGATGACCCAATATATACAATAATAATGTTCAATATCAATTTTATATAATTTAATCGAGTTGTAATGGACTGAGTTTTGGGTTGCAAGTATTGAATTTTCAGATGAAGTTATACAAACTGCAGTGCCAGTAATCAAAAAACTTGATAATTTTATAAATAACTGTGATAATTATGTTGATAGAAAAAACCGGTGAAATTGATGAAAATCGATTGTGTATAAGAAATATGCTATTAATAATTAATATGTCTACAATATTGCAATCTTATTTATTAGACTATTTATACTATCATTTATTTGTTTTTTAATTGCAGGTAACGTCTCGCAGTAATAATGTAATTCAACATTATTAAGATCGTTTCGAAGATGCGAATAAGCATCAAAAATTTAATTAAATTACTCAATTTAACTCGTGATATTACTGCGGTAGTTTAGTGGAGTTAGCGTTTCAAGATCGAAAAATCATTCCACGGCACGCGTTGAAAAATCATTTCGGCGCGTTTCTAAGAATTAGAATATAAAAATATAATATAACAATATAATATAATATTAATAAAATAAAATAAAATAAAATAAATAACACAAACTGTAGAAATCAAAGCATCAAACGATCTAGCTGGATCTTAAACGCTTGTATGATTCTTGTGTGAATTTATATACTACGTACGTAGAGAGAGAGAGTATATAAATATAGTTTTATATAAAAAAAGTAATACAGTTAAGTAATATAGTAACATAGTAATATAATATAATATTGTAGTAATATAATAATATAGTACAGTACGTTTTCAACCATTACGCATGCGTGCGTAATATGCCCCAATCGTACCACCTTCTGAGGTGAGGCAAATGGAGCTTGCTCTTAATTGATCCATGGAGTATGCTCTAATGCGACGCGAATATCTAGTCGCCATATTGATTCGAACATATTGGAGCATGTTGGGCATGTTTGAACGTGCGACGTGAACAAATCTGTTTTCTATAAATGAAGAAATATTACACGTTGCAACAAATGCTTTTATGTAAATAAATAATTTACCACGTTTCTATTAAAATAAATATTTATTTGAAGGTTTGAGAAAATTGTGACAATAACTAGTAATAAGAACCTTCAATATATTGGGTCATCTAAAAAGTATCCGCGGTTTTTTGTCACTAGATGTGTGTTGATGGTCATATATCTAGTGACAAAGTACCGCGGATACTTTTTAGATGATCCAATATATTGTATAAAACAGTAAAAAATCAACCACTGCCGATTGTAACAAAAATAGTTGACTAGTGATTTAGTTAAATCGTCATTATAGAAACATTCGAGATAAGAAAACTCTGTACGAGAACTCGGACCATTTTCTAACATCGTGGATACAAGCTTTAAGCGGATTAGTGGATTGTCAATCACAGAATCATTCTGTTAGATCTGTTTGCAAAATTTGCAAGCAGATCTAACAGACCGAATAAACCTAACAGTGCAATGAAATAATTTAAACCCTATGAAAATTAATAAAAATAAATTGTAAATATATTAAAAAATAAAGAAAAAATATAGAAAAATTAGAAAAAATATTAAATTAACTTAAAAATATATATTTGTATAAAGAAATATTAAGTAATTATATATCTATGAAAATATTATAAGAAAGCTGGTATAAAAGAAATTTATGTAATATAATATAATATTGTAGTAATATAATAATATAGTAATATAGTATTATTAATAATATTGTAATATAAGTAATAATATATAGTAATATAGTAATATAGTAATATAGTTTTATATAGTATATAAATATAGTTTTATAGTTTGTGTTATTTATTTTATTTTATTTTATGCATATATTGAGTCATCTAAAAAGTATCCGCGGTACTTTGTCACTAGATATATGACCATCAACACACATCTAGTGACAAAA